TCGGCATTTTCTGTTTGACTTAACTTTGTAGTCTGTTCTAATTCCACAATTCTAACCTCAAGCTTATTTTTTTCTTTTGCGATCTGTTCCAATTCTGCGATTCTAGCCAAAAGCCTGACTTTCTCTTGTTTCAATAAATCTAGTTCGGATTGCATGATGAATATAATATTTTTTTATACAAGATGGGAATTGTTCAATAGTTCGTTTATAAAATAATTATACAAAAAATTTATTGCAAATAAAATAAGTCCAAATTACAAATCGCATGCATTATTTTATTTTTTTACATTTAAATTATATTTTTTCAATTAACATTATAAACTACGTTTCGCGTTCTTGCCGATTAGTTTTTTTCTGTGGGGTTTGTTGTTGGTCTAATTTTACAGATTCTTGGGAAAACTCTTCAGGAATAAATTTAAATACTTTAGCCCTTTTGAATAAAATATTTGTCATTCTTCCGACCCGTTCTACAAGTTTCTATTGAACGAAAATAAACTAGTTAGTAATAATGAATATAGCTTATAACTATAAGTCAATAAAAAACATACAGCATGGATTAAAAATGCTCTGCATAATAAAACAACTTCTCCGATATCTTCGTCTTTTGCCGGTAATAATTCGGAGGCCCAATCCCAGATACCATAAAGGTCACCATTTATTTGGAAAAGAAGGTAAAATCTGATTTTCATACAAATAACTTGAAAACAAGGTATAAAAATGGATTTCATTCCTTCCTGTAAATTTTCGGGAAGAGGTTTAAAACCGCATTGTTCTATTATAGCATTTTTAAATTTCTTGTGTTGCGACTTTGCAACTTTAATTATTTCAATGAAGTTGGTGATCGATTTATCATGGTTATCTTTGTGGGCTGGTCCACTATTTTCTCCGATTCCCGATTCCCGGGACGAACACTGCATGTAAAAAATCCATATTAGAGTTGATTTATTTTTATTTTAATCTTCCGGCACATACCCAATATAAGTAGTCGCATGCTTTTCCGACACGGCTATTTCCGGAACGTTCTACTTTATCCTCGCGATCAGCTTCTGATCTATTTTCACCACTTGAAGAACAGAAATCAAAATTTAATAATATTAAAGAAACAGAAAAATAGACAAAAGCATGTCTAAATCCTTACTATAGAAAAAGAGTACAAGGCGTTTTTGCATAGGGTCCAACAATAAACATATCAACGGTTCGCTCGGATTGACATTTTCCGGAAAAACGACTAATCCACACATCACTAATTGCAACAAGAAATTTAAATTATATCTTATATAATAATAGTATTATAACATACAAAGAACTCTATGCATTTTCCAACATAAATGGTAGCATCGTCCTCAACATCTACATTTACGAGAAAATCTTGGATATTTCGTTTATCACAGTCCTATTGTGAAATAAGAAATCCTTAGCATACACATCAAAATATCAAAAAAGATTATGTATCATTTAATTTACCTGCATTTCTTCGGATGATTTTTGCAATAGGTTGCGCACTCCAAAAACCCCACGGGCTCCACATTCTTTAGCAAGATGATGGATGCTAATAATATCCGATAATGACAAGGCCTCTAAAAAAGATTCAACTGATTTATTGATCTTTGCTTTTTCCTCTTTAATTGTATCTTTTAATTTATCCATTAAATGATTAATTTCGCCTTCTGGAAGAAAATTCTTGGCGCGTGGATGATCTGGGCAAGGGGAGATATTCTCCTCACGAAAATCTAAAACACCCCACCAGAGTGGACTATAATAAAGTAAATATAAACGTGAGAGATATGTATACACATATATAGTAAATTAATAGTAAATAACTTACTTATTATGTGCAAACTCGTTTCTTTTTTGGATATTTTCGACAGCTTTAATAGCGGTAATATACTCATTATGTTTTTGATCATTTCTCACAGATTTGGCGGATTCAGGATTATGAGCTTTGGCTTCAGTTTTATCAGGCACACAAAACTGCAGTACAAATTTTAAATGCTCGTTGTCAATTTCATCATGGTTTTGATCCAAGGCCTTGCAATTATTGATTATAATATGAAAATACAAAGGTCAGTTAATGAAAAATAATATCATTTTCCTCTCCTTTAGATAAACTAGGAATCAAAAATCTAGGTATACTTCTTCCAACTCTGGTGTCTTTTCTGGATCATCTTTTCTTAGCCTTTTTGATGGTGGCTGAAATTTATCTTGGATCTCTTCACCCACGTTTTTTGTTTGCTCTTTTATTGATGGCAGATCGTACAAATTCTCGATTTCTTGAATTTGTGATCTTCCGGCAATTTCTACAAGGTGAAGGGACCCATCATCAAAAATTTCCTTGACGGATAACTATTGTGGAAAACAATAAATATTGCGTAAAAATTGCCAACTACTGTTTGAACATGTATATTTGACAGCAACAAACCTGATTCCGTTGATGAATTATTGATGTCCAGAATGCTTTCAAATATTGCACATCTTTGAGCTCGTTTTTAACCTTTCAAAAAACATGTATTATTAGTATATTGTATTTTAAATCATTCTAATGAGCGTGAAGGTGAAGAATAAAAAAAACATGAAGGAAAGTAGGTCGCGCACGGTGGGACTAAGATTTCACTTATACTCCGTCCGGGATTTACGCATCAGGAGCTGCCCACACCATCACTCGGGCGGGAGGGCACCCATACTCTATCCGGGATTTACGCATCAAGAGTAGCCCTTTCATTCTTTCCTTGAGAATTAAAGGACACATCACCTTTTCTATTACGTCTGTCCCCAATTTTTCTACTTCCAACAAAAAGCGTTGGCTCCAGGCACCGTTATTTCTTTCCCAGATTTTCGCATACGGTGGGAGCACTTTGACAGCTTCTTTATTTGAAATCAGAAACTCCAGGTAAGATATATTGTCTTACTCACGTAGGTACGAAGAACTGTCAGATCAGATAAAAATTAAGTAATACTATCACAGGCCGATAATCAACAAAGGGAAATGCCAAAGATTACTTGAATGACCGGGATATGATTCTCCAGCTATTTCCTTGTCTGAAGTGGTAGACATAGCGTCTTTGAATAAAAGAACAAAATTATACGTGTAAATTTTATATGCGACAAAAACCGTGACAAAATGTCACGATCAGTAATTTACTGCGCCATTGTGACAACGATGTCACGGCAATTTTATGTATAAAAGTAACGAGTATTTCATTATTAAATTTCGGGTTTATATTAATATTGGGTAAATTATTATTGTTAATATATCGATATAACAGCGAAACACACATGCAAAAGTAAACACGATTAATTATGCGAAATCAACCACCAGGGCCAGCTTTATTAATGTGGTAAAAATAAAATCCCAGGTTATCAATATCCCTATTTGTAAAAAGTACAACATAGTGCTTTAGTTCTGCGATAAATATAAATAAAGACCGATGAGAGTAAAAAAAAAGTGATGTTATATATCTGCTTTTGAGATGTTTTCACACAGATATGCAGATGTAAGGGGTGCTAATTAAATATGGTAATCAGTGTATCACATGACCTAATGATGCATGCAGGTTCTATTACATTCGAATTCCTTCTATGGCATATATCACATGGTAAGTTAATTATTTTAGCGGAGATATCAAGTTACACAAGTTATTTAATCAACTATAATCACTGGTGCAAGTGATAAATCCTCGAATCTTTTTTCAATATGAGCTAAAACCTTTCTCAATAATATCTTAGATGGAGGTACATCTATTAACACTTTCTCAACATCTTTTTCAGTACATATATACACCCACATTATATGGATCAATTCTCCTCCTTTATAATTATGTCCATAATGTTGCAAAAATCGATACTCCTTCATTACAATATCTGTCATTTCCTCTTGACCTGTTATTAATTCCCGAAAAAGCTGTTTATCCTCATCTGTAATTAGGAGGTAAATTTCCTCAGGCTCAAAGCCTATATATTGAGATAGTTTTTCACGTAATTCAGACATTATATAATAAACACATAATAATTATTAGTAAAAATTCTTTGTTATCGAAATCTGCTCATGTTAAAATTCTCACAACTATTTACCAGTGCAATTTATGAACCAGTTTTGATACTTATATCTGAGAATGGAACATATGTCTGAAATACATTTTTATTTATGCGGTAATCACAGGTCATTTGTTGATTTCATATGCTCTGGTCAATCATCATTCGTAATCGTACATAACTAGTTAATATATATATACAATTAATTTTATAACGGAGTTAATGTCATCTGGAAGCTAGTTCGCACCAAGACACATATAAATACTAACACCCACCTTTTCGCAATAACTGCTTAAAGCCAGAAAAAGTCAAACCTAACTCAGAAAACATTTTCAACATATAACTTCTGAAACTCTTTATAACTCTAAAGATCCAATGTCTCGTATTCCTCAGTATAAGATCAGGAATTATACAATCTGGCTCTTTAGGGTACTTCTTCGAAGCATATCAGCAAATAGAAAATAACTTTGAATTGGATCTGAGAAATAGAGCGTTTCTATCCGAGTTGGATACTAAAGAGCTAAAAGATGAAGAGCTAGAAAGATTAACAACGTTCTCAACAGTAGATAGTCTCAATTCTACACCCTTATATATCGAAACAACTTCTTTATCTTTTAAGCGTAGACTTAAATCAACAAAAAATGAATCGCATATTTTATAGTATATAGTTATCGAAATCCAATAGGTCTAAATCCCTAAATTCGATATAATCGCATAATCTCTGAAAATACTACAATACGTTAAATCACTTAATCGTTAAATATGGTTTATACGGAGAACTATCCAGTTT